TTAATTATTAAAATAGTTATATATACTAAATATATTATGCGTACGGTTGGGCAAGCTTTTTTTTTAATCAAAAAAGTGTTTTTTTTTTTAATAAAAAATGCACTTTGGGAAAAATAAGTGTGTTTGTATGGGTCTTTAATAGAAGCAAAAGCACAAAAATAAGCCATTTGTTGGATTTTGCAAGAAGCTGATCGGATCATTTTCTTCCAAAATCTCATGTGCTAGAAAAAGAGAAGGATCCTTTAAACACGCAAACCTTTTGCTTTTGACAAAATGTCTCTATTAAATTTCCAAAAAGACAACTCTTGCCCTTTATTTGAGCCAGCACTCTTCTTCTTTATCCCGTCCACGCCAATAAGCTTGCAACATTGAATTTGCGTCATTGTTCTTCATCACTCCTTCGTCAAAGCTTGTTGACTAGAATGCCAAGCTCGCGTGCTACCATCATTTTCTTTCTTTACTCACCATCGATTGCCTTCGTTCTGCTCACAGATCACCATACTGCCGAGTCGATCAGAGAGCCTTTGATCGCACTACCTTCATCTCCACATCCTTTAATCGTAAAGCATCGTCCTTAGTGAACGATTCCTATTGACTCTCTCTGCTATTTTTTTGCCCTTTTTTTTATTTTTCAAACAAAATCCAAATAGAGCCTTTAACACTGCCTTTATCTAGGCCATCTTTCAATTACAAATCCTTTAATTTTTTACATCGATTGCTATTATTTCTCATAAGTTGCTCTTTGCTCTATCTCTCTCATTTTTCTAAGTTTCTCTTGCAAAACCCATATATATATATATATATATATATAAAAGCAAACATGAAAAAAAATAGTCTTTTATAGTAATTTTACAAAAACAAAAAGCACTTTTATTTTTTACATCCAAACAACTAAAAGCATTTCATAAAAGTGCTTTTAAAAAATCACTTTTAAAAGAAGCACTTCTAAAAAAGAGCCCCATCCAAATGGTCCCTAATTTTTTAAGAGTTATGATCGATGGTTTAATATTGAAATATTGGTTTTTTTTTTAATCAAATGAGAGACATACAATCTACAAATAACAAATAATATAAATGTGTTTGGGTGAGAGTAGTACCAAGACAGACATCTCAATAAAAAGTTCTGGTGTTACACCCATTTAAAAAAATTAATATAAATTTCATGCCCTTTTCTATCTTATCTTCTATGAATAATTTTACCACTTTTTTAAGATAGATAATAAACAAAAATAAGATAGAGAAATAATCCACAAGAACAGATTCAGAGGGAAATTAGGAAGGTCTCAAGATCGAAGCTCAATTTTTGTATGACTTCCTCTACTCTTCAACTTGAAAAAGAAAGATGAAGTTCAGAGATAAGGTGAAAACAGATGTATATTTGACCTGTAAAAATAAACAAGAAAGGAAACAAGTGAAATCTCTATTTCTTTTAAAATTCATGCTTCTCCATAGTTAAATTAGCATTTAGTAATGATCCCTCAACTCCACTGATCTATTGAATTTGGTCCCCAACTTTTATTCGGCTAAATTGGCCTTTCAACTAAAGACAAATCTACCTTTCAAAATCAGTTGTTAAAGTGTCAGAGAGAATAAACAAATTACCAGAGGAGGACGTGAAATTCTACATGGAGGACATTTTCATTTTGCCTAATCCAATATCCAAATCTTACTTTACCTTCTCCCCTTCAGAAATTAAAAATAAAAACAAAAACTTAACCCAACTACTATTGCCGCTGTCATCATCAGATCTACGACCGCCTCCTCTCCCGTCGACCCACCGTGGTCATTGGCTTAGTCCACCTCCAACGATCCCGTTTCTGCTCGTAATTGTTCCCTTAAATTTAGTTACGGATAGGGTTGTGGGGTTAATGGTATGTCCTGAGTAGTGTTTGTGCATTGTCACTTTTAGATACAATTTCTATAGTACTGCGATGATCACTGATTTCTTTATTTACCGTAGCTGGTCTTAACTGGGTGAGAACTTTCATCTCTCGGGGGACTGATTTTGCTAAATAGAGCGTCAAATCTCGGTTTAGATCAAATTAGGGGGTGTTCGTGGTTCGGTTTAAGGCTCGGATACAAATTAAATCATATCTTATATAATTTGTAATTTTTAGAAACCACAAGAACCAAACCAAACTATGGTTTATGCTTTGATTCGATTTAAAATCACGGTTCATAAATTAAGTTTGTCAAACTCTTTACCTCTACATAATTGCAAATTTGTAGTAGAATCAATTAAATTTCATAATTGAAAAAAACGACCGTCAAGAAAATTCAATAAATTAAACATTGATTTGGTATGTAATAATCTAAATTACAGGGTTATTTAAAAGAATCGGAAGCTTGAGACACCATAAAAAAAGGAAAAATTAAATAAAAAAGAAATGAGACTAGAGATTGAAATGACAAAAAAAAAAAGAAAAAAGAAAATGGAGGGACTAGAACAAAAGAAGAAAAAAGGTGTGGGCCTAAACTAAAAACTTAAACATAGTTTACAGTTTGGTTCAGTTTTTTCAGTTTTGTTTAGTGGTCAAACTGTAAATTCAATTGTGAGAAAAAAAATCTAGTTTAAACCACATAAAACAAAACCGTAATCTATATCAAACCGAACAAAATTTCAGGTTGGTTTAATTTACTCAATTTAATTAGTTTTAATTCATTTTGATGTACACCCCTAAAATAAATAAAATTTAAGACCACTAAATTGAAAAGGCAATACACTTGAGTAGCCATTGTAATAGTAGTAGTAATAATAATAATAGTAATAGTAATAGTAGTAGTAGAAGAGGAGCATGAGGAGGAGCACAATTATGACAATTTTAATGTAGGCAAAGGCTACCCAAAAAAAAAGAGAAAAAAATAATAATAGAAAATATTAAATACCCACCGCTTAAGAAGCTATTATTAAGATATTTATAATAAATTAATTAGTAGATTTTCATACTTTTACCTATCAACCACTCGTGTTTTATTTTATAATTTACTCCTTTTTTTTATTTTTCTATTGAATATCACATCCAATGTGGAAATATATTGCATGCATTTAAGTTTGAAATGTTACATTCATAAAAGTTATATTCTGGGTTCTTTAATTTATATTTGACCATAAAAATGATCAAGCGTCAGTGAATTGTTAGATTTTTCCCGTGAATTTTGCTAATTATTTTTCTCTCACACATTTGACATGTTGGATTCCTATTTCTTGAATAATGAATTTCAAGAAATTTTTTGTAGCAACTTGGTTTTTCCATATATTCATATAATAGTTTTTTTAATTAATTTAAAGATGTGATTATATTATCTTTATCTTATTATTCCTATTCATGAGTGTTCAATGTAAAAAAAAATTGCACATTAAATATTATAATGTTCATGCAGAATTATAATCTATATTAATGTCTTCCAATTTGACCCACCAAAAAATGTCTTAAAATCCATCCTCGAGTACCACCTTCATCTTCAAATTGCTGAAGAAAACTTGCAAGAAAGTTTTGCAAGTTTCATACATCTCTTAAGTTTTCAGAAGATGAAAATTATCAAAGGGGGATCATATTCTCAAAGCAAGAAACACGTTTGTTTTAAAAAAATTGTATTCCTCCAACTGTAATCACTAAGACGGATCAATGATCAATGTCAAGCCTACCTAAGCTGATTGTGCCAAACAATGGTCAACTTTGTTGGGGACCCATCTCAAAATTCATATTCACAAACAATGGTCAAATTGATCAAACAAATCAAACTATTTCCTTTCCCCACCACGTCCCTTTCAACGAGGGCCCATTTAGCTGTGAACCATATATTTCTTCATGCCGTAACAGGCGTCAGAATTAATCAAATCCTTTCCCTCTTGATTAATTTTAATCAGTTTAATTATAATTAAGACGTTGAAACATATAATGCACTTGCAGATGCACAATAGTTTAATTTCTTCTCCATGTATAAACTAATAATATAATATTAGTCGTACCACTGGCTTCATTATTAAACTGATTCATGGAAGAACACTGAGATTTTGATTTAGTTTTGGTCTTTCTCAAACCCTGAGCCACCGCAAAATCCAAGAACTCCCATCATTATTTTTTTCCTCTCTTGTCCAATATTCAATTTCCCTCCTCTGGCCTGACCATTTCAAGCAAGAGATCTGTGCTCTGCTGTCTTGTATTCAGTACATATACATACATATATTTGTATATATTATTTCAAACAAGATGGTATAAATTTGAACCCTTTTGAAAACCAGAAGAGGGTAAGACTAGATTGCTTTTTCACTGGTTGCTGGTACCCAGTTGTCAAATGCTACAGCGTGTACCAGATATTAATGCCAAAAGTTACATAAACTTAGGTGGTGTTTGGCACCCAGCATTCCTGAGTTTCTGATCTAGGGAGTTTTCAACACGTTTGGCGATACCATGTATCTGGGGATTACGAGATATAAAAGTTTCAAATTTAAAAATTTTAAGATTTAATCACTAAACCTTTTTTAGATAAAAAATTTAAAATTTTTTTATACCAAACACTTGCTTACGTAAATTAATATACTAACTTCGTAAATATTATTATACATTTAAAAAAAAAAAAGAGTTCATAATGCATCATTGTTCTGAGAGTTTCTGACTGATAATTTCTTCTCCCAATGGCATTTATTTCCGTGGATTGAGTGGTAGCTGAAAGACTAGCCGTACAAATATGGGAAACACAAAACAAAACACTGCCCAAAAGGAAATGCACAAAAACAAAAGCCTTACCATGTACTGTCTACAAATGGGGGGAGAGAGAGAGAGGGAGAAAGGGTTGGGGGGTAGAGATGTTTCAGTCATTCAAATTTAACAAAACAAACACAGGCCCCCAGAAGCTGAAAGTCATATATATATATATACATATATATATACTGAAACTCGCTCACATGCACCGTGCCATACATGCCCGCATCTCCTTCACAAATCTTTATGATGTTACATACAGTCAGTGGGTGAGAAATCTCAATAGGAGTAGTACATGGCCATCGACCTCTTTGCTTGTTGTTCCTTGCTTTCATCACTCAAGGGAAAGCTGCTGCTGCTAAAACCACCATCATTAACACCTGTGCCTGAGCTAATAAGCTGCTTAATTTCCTCAATCTCATACTCCAAATGACTTGTGCTAACATCCCCAAAACACCCATTAATTGGCTTTTGATCCCCCAAAGTTGTCATGTTCCCATAATCAATTACAAACCTTTGGTTTGCTTCAAACCCATTTGCGATCAAACCCTGAAGAGCACTAGTGTCTTCTTGCTTCATCTCTCTGCCATGATTGCTCATCTGGCTGCAACTTCCATCAGAAGACGAACAGCTTGGTTGGTCACCCCCAAACATGATGAAACTGCTGTCTTTCACACCTGGGTAGTACTGCATAGAATTCGCCAAACCCTCTTGTGCTTGATTGATAAGAGAAGAATTAAAATTAGCTGCCAAATTAGAAGGGTTGTAGCTAAAGCTGTTGTTCATGAGATTGGGTGGGAGAAATGGTTGTTCAAGGGCAGTGAGGGGCTTGTTTGGATTGTTGTAGCATGAAGTGAAATCTGTGTAGAGAGTTGTTGTTGTTGGTTGTGGTGGTGGTGGTGGTGGTGGTGATGGAAGTTGAGAGTAGAGAGCTTGAAGATGTGGTTGGGGTTTTCTAGTGAGATGGTTTTGTTCAGGGTGCATATTGGCCATGAGCTTCTTCTTGAGCTTGGTGTTCCAGTAGTTCTTGATATCATTGTCAGTTCGGCCTGGTAATTGACCTGCTATGATGGACCACCTGCACAATTGATGAAAATAAGTTCCATTACAAGCAAAGAATAAAAATTAAGACAAAAACGGAAAGGGAAAAAAACTCTCGTCGGATGATAACACACTCTTTCAACAGCAGTGAAAGAGTTTTTGGAGTTAGATCTGAACTTGGATTGCATGCACAAGAATTGTCCAAAATAAGCAGAATCTTGTAACAACCATCTCTAAAACTTGTTGACCTTATGCGACTCTCTATCTCTCTCTCGATACACACACGCAGACAGAAAGAGGGAGAGAGAAAGAAGAGGGGCATTATTTTTCCCCTTTTCGGGGACTTGATCAAACAGATGATAATTGATGAAATAAAGATCAGAAAAAATGGATGATTTTGGTAAAGTGGGGCTTTTGTAGAAAAAGGTAGGGAATTAATTAAGGTGTACCTCAAAAAGTCGGAGAAAAGGTGAAGGCAATTAGAGATACCTGCTTCCAATGGTGGCGAACAAGGTGCATATTATCCTGTCTTCTTCCTCAGAAAAGTCTCCATGTTTGATGTTGGGCCTCAGATAGTTCAGCCACCTCAGCCTGCAGCTCTTCCCGCATCTTTTTAGACCTTCACAGAGAGAGAGAGAGAGAGAGAGAGAGGGAGAGAGAGAATCAAATTTGGGTTCGTATTGAAATGTGTTCTTCTATGTGAGGAATTAATCATTTGATGATCTTACCAGCTTTCTGAGGAAGAGCAATCCAGTTTCCTCCGGTGCCATATTTCTCAATGAACTCCTTGAGCTTTGAATCCTCTTCAGGAGACCAAGGCCCTTTCTTCACATTTGCCTTGTCACAGCAAGGAGCTCTCCCCATCTCTCTCTCTGTCTCTGTCTCTCTCTCTAGAATATTTCTGGGCGATTTTTTGGAACTCTTTCAGCCTCTCTCTAAGTGTCTCTTTTAAATTGGACCAGTAGCGTGGCTGTCCGGTGCCCTTTTATCCAGAAAGGAGAGAGAGAAGATTGGGTACTGAGCAAGAAAATAAAATAAGTTAATTTTTTATTTTATTTTTCAGAGAAATACAGAAGTCAAAATGAAAGGCTAGTTTGATCAGTCTCCAACTCCTTTGCTGAATAACTATGGCAGCTGACAGAAGTTTCCATCTCACATTCTTGAAAAAACTTCTATCCACCCCCCCTTACTCTCCCAGTCTCTTCCTCCAAGAATCCAAAGTCGTATTAACTACAAATATTATAAGCAAACAAGTCGATGGCTACGGCTATTGAGTTGTGACATATTCCAAACTTTATAGGCTTAGGTACACAAAGACTATCCTATTTTTTTTTACTAGCTTCTAATTAATTTTTTTGTTGACAGTAAAAAAGTAAAAAAATTAAAAATTAAAAATTAAATGACTATTATAAGAATGTCTTTTTCTCTCAAGTTTTACAAATTTTATAATTAGAATAAGCAATTACAATGAATACTACCAATTGGGCAAGAATTCCAATTTCATCCCCAAGCCGCCTTCTGAAAGGAACTTTTTTTTTTTTGTCCGAAACTATTAGTATTGAGAAACTTACTAAATTTTAATTAATATGGTTAAAGTTAGTTAAAATCTGATAAGGAGTAAAACTCTTTCAACAATAGTATTTTTATATATCAGTATCGAGAAATTTATTGAATTTCGACTAATCTGGCTCGAGTTAGCTGAAGTCTAATAACAAGGTAAAATTCTCATAGTTAAGGGTGTTTTCTTATATAAAAATCAAACTTCTGATCATAATTAATAGGAGATTAAAGTATCTAATGTTCCAACCAATCACCTCTTAGTTTTCAAAAGTATTTTATATCCAATATGCATAGTTTTACTATAAAATTTAAGATAATATTAAAATTTTATATGAATAAAGCCTTTAATTAACCAATTATCTAATTCATTCATCAATTAAAATAACAGTCCTGATAGCTCAGAAAGGTGATGCTGATGTGGCCATTTATAAGACATTTTTGGTCCCTCTTGCGCCTAGCTAGGTTCGATCAGATCAGGAGTTCTATTCACAAATCAATGGCCATATACATGGATGCTCTTCATTTACCGTTTGAAATGCAGATCTTATATTCTTGTCACATGGGTCTGTCCTATTTTCCTTCTTTGAAAAATCCAACCAACATTTTGAATTTTTGAAGCGTTATAAATAATTATAGCAAGGTGTAAATGATCAAAAAGGAATCTCTATTTCGAGTGCCCAAGTCCAATCAATGCTTCTTGTTCCAATTATCCGAAAGGAAGTGTTGAGTAGTTGAATTTCACACAGGTAAGATCGAGATTTATATATTTGATGTTACGTCTTGATCTAGTGAGTTAGTGACTTTAACAATTATTCAATTAATATTAAATAATGATTTTGATACTAATTCAATAGATATTATTATCTCAAGTTTAGTAGATCAAGATTTAGTATTAAATAAATTATCAAGACCCTCTTTTCTTTTCCTCGGTATAAGATAGACAAAAACAAAAAAAATTAAAAATATCCAAAAATTAGAACAATAAATTCTCAAAAAACTAATTTACTTTTTGGATTCTTTCCTAATTTTTAATTTTTTTCATGCTAAACTAAAAAAGCAAAATAAAAAAACCCAAGACTTTAACTAAAGCATAGTGATTTCCTGAACAGCTGTAGAGAATGGTACCAATATTTTCTACACCAGTTAACATTAATATTGACCTCAATCATCTTCCGATTTGACAAACTAGTGTTTTAAAACTCTTAATTAATGAATAATATTGAGAAGGGGGAAAAAGTCTCTCATCACTGCTGCATTATCCTGTTGTACAGCCTTGCAATGGTTGACCATTTAGGCCTCTCTCCAAGAGTTCTTCATTAATGTCCACCATAAAGGTATGTCGGCCCACTTCTAAGTCATAGTTACTTAGCCAAGAAAAATGGACCAAGGAAAATTGTCTGTAGTTGACAATGCATCATCAGCTCATACAAGTAAGAATTTCAGTTGAAATATTTGCACAAAGGGATTTTTTTTATTTTTTTTATTTTTTTGGTTTTGTCTTTTTGTTTATCTTACCATTTAAAACTACCTACCAAATGTCAAGAATATGATGGATGAATGAATATTCGGGCATATAATACTTCAACATAACAAGAATACAATTTAAATTTATTAAAAAAACACGACACTACTAAATTAGACTCGATTAACACAATTAATTTCATTTTTATTTTAAACAAATTATTAATAATTTTATTAATATTTTGAGATAGATTATTTCAAATTTTTAACATAAAAATAAAATATAAATATGACATAAAGCATAAATTATCAACCCTAATATTTTAATATAAATCAGAGTCCCACTATTTGAAAACTTATTTATTTTGGGTAACTCATTTTTCAATAAATAAATCAAAAATTTCTATTTTATTCAATTATATCAAAATTTTGTTTCAGCTTTTTTGAAAGAGAAGATTTCGACCACCTACGAATCCATGGAAGTTCCCAGTTTCAACTCTTTCCCCGCCAGATCTCTGATTTACTCAAAGTAAAATGATATAGGAGCAAGGAAGCGCCATGTTTCGAAGAACCAAGCTAGCAGGAACTCCACCAGAGTGGTTCATGGTCATAATATAGGTGTGAAACCTTGATACCATGACCAGATTCGAGATGATTTGAATTCTGCTTATCCTCTTTGCAGTTAGGGAAAAACATGTTTTTACCATGAAAGGGAGTTTGACTTTGCCTCTATTGCTTCATGTCAAGGGAAATTATGACTTTTGAGTATATACTGGGCAAAAATTACTGTAAAGTCAAATTAATTCACTTTTCATGTAGATACATTTTCAAAAGATTCTTTTGTCTCTACCAACCCAGTTGAAGAAGAAGAAGAAGGAGGAGAATAAGAAGAAGTTTGTATGGATGAGAGAGGAAAAAGAAGGGGGTTGGTTGGCGGCTTAAGGATGAGATTCCCAGAAAGTTCAACGATTACCAAGAAAAGCCTGGATTAGAAGCTGCAATAGCGTACCAGTAAATATTCAATGGTAAACCAAAGACTGCTTAGATATTTGGAAATCTCTATTGACTTTTTCCCTTTTATAATAATTAATTATTATATATCAATTTTTTTACTTTATCTTTTGTGTCCTTCCTTTCGGTTGGAAAAACAATATGATATCCAGCAGAGATCTGAATATAGATGAGAAGTTAATCCCCCCTGCTATTTCATTTTTATCTTCACATGATTAATTAACAAACCCCCCCCCCCCCCCCCCCCCCCCACCCTTTACTTGAAAACCGTTAAAAAGGAATTGACCTTAGGTAACCATCTCTTTTCTAAGTCAGAGACAAGATTAATTAAACGCACACGGCAAAGGTTAAAATATTCCACATACTCAGCAACTTTGATAATTACAACTATTCAAATGCAAGTGGGGAAAGGGGACATTAACATGATAAAGTCATACAAAGTTCTAGAAAACATTACGCCAAAACACCAAGTAATAATACTTTAAATATATACTTCCTAATTAACCCGTGTACCAAAACAGCACATTAAGATACAATTCGTATATGCTTTGGATATATACTCCCCATTTAATTATGCATGTATTTATTAAGTAGTTTTGACATTTCTCACCTAAAAACTAATTCATATGATGAATTTTATTTTACATTTATAAATTGACCTACTACCTCTTCCACAACTGAGTGAAATACCCAATACTTTTCATTTTTACATATCAAGCTAGCTCTCAAACTTGGATATCACTAGAGAGATGTTAAACCTGAATTATGATATTAATGTTAGATGGTCTTAGACTTTTCAACTCCAAAAGATAACTTATGAAGTGACATTTTTATTCACACTTATACACTAATCATTGTTTTTTTTTTTTTTTTTTTTTACAGTTGATGTAAAATGCTTAATAGAATTCTAAAATATGATGATTTTCAAGGAAAGAAAACAAACATTTGATGACATCTAGGGAGGAATTGGGTAAATTACAAGTTAAATTTTTATTACATGAGCATGTTTTAATTCACAATTCATGATTAGGACTCAAAACCACAAGAACCCATTTTCCCTAAGTAAAATTTTGAAAATCTTGAACGGGTGTTGTTAGAAGAGGAAAGATTCTATATCTAACACCATAGAATAAGTTGTTGCTTGGCATGCGTGCATAAATTATTTATTTTGTTAGTAAACATTAATTATATATTAATTAATTGGTCCACGCTTGTTATTAATTAGGGAAAGGTCCTTGATTGGGTCATCATGAACGTAATTGGAGCTTGGTTCTGCGAGACACCAGATCCATGATGACCAATGTTTTATTTGACTCCGAAAATTAACGGTCGTATTTGATTAATACACTACATGGACTGGTTACCTCATTTTTGTTTGAAGTGTCGGTCACTCATGCATTTTCATTAAATCAGGTTATCCATATCTTCAAACCCCCCCCCCCAACCCAATTAATTGATAATTAGCTAGGATTTGGACCACTACATTACAGATTAAATCACTGATCATTATAGTAGAGAGAGAATTAATTAGGATACTGCAATAAATTTGTTACAAATAGTTGTTAATCTTTTAGACAATTAATTGTGAATTTTTTCTCGAGTTAAAGTATAAAATTTTTCTATAGTTTTTCTAAGGTGTACAAAACTCCTGTCTAAATTTAAATTGAACCAAACTCCTTGCATTTTATAAATTTTTTGAATATTTGTTACATTTTTTTCAATTACTAATAGTATTAAATTATAATAATCGGATTAAGAACTTAATTAAAAAAAATATAAAGATAAAGATTATATAAAAATAATGAAGACTTTTTGGGGACCAAAATAAAGAA